GGGTATTCATATTTGGCAGTGGTACTAGTAGCGAGTTGCCCGGCTGGGGGTTCCATCTGACGGGCCTAGGGCCAAAGGCGACGCGAACCGACACGACAACACGCAAACGTCGTCGAGCAACCGTTGCGAAATCACGAAAAGTTAGATTACGAACTTTCAAGGACAGAAACTTGCTTTGTTCTCCTCGGTTTCGCATCGAACAATTTGAGTCCAATCGGCTGGCCAATCCTGGTTTCAGCTTACTGCCAACATCATAGGTGCCGTGTCAGCAAAAATGACACAACTTTCAGGAGGAGCTTGCCCCAACAGCCCCGTACACCAGCTTTGCACTCTTGCCTTGATATCCTCCATGTATGTTTGTGTGTGTGTCTGTGCCCCAGAACGCTCCGTACATACATTCATATTATCGCACTTGAGAGTGTGGGCCTTCGGCTTTTTTTTCGACGTTGACTTTGGCTTGGGTGCTGGTGCCTGGGTGAGAATGCAGATCGGATGGCGGGAACCCTAAACCCTAAACCCGAAACCCTAAACCCTAAACCCTAAACCCTAAACCCTAAACCCTAAACCCAAACCCTAAACCCAGGCGCCGGGAGCCCATGAGCTGCGTCACGTCAATACAAAAGTTTTGGGCTGCCATTTGTATGGAATTGCATCCATGTACCCAAATAGGGTTTAGGGTTTAGGGTTTAGGAGGGTGGTTGTCAAAATTATGGTCCCTTTTTGGGTCCTTATTATAATACGGCACCTATTATTTAGGGAACCCCATAGGGCCCATAATTTTGACAACTACCCATATACATTGGCCCTAAAGTACCTATATAGAGACTACATTAGGCCAAAGTATATACTATTTGGGTACATGGACCCTTAGGGATCACAAAGCGCGGCAAACTCACAGGTTCCTCCAACTTGTCCTTGTCACTGCCTGTCAGAGCTGCTGCCTGAGCCTGGGCGCTGTTCCTGTGCTCCGGACACAGGACACCCACGGCGATCCGACTGTGTCACTTTGCAAGGCATTTCCCCAATTGTCGCCGAGATCGCACCATCCGCACAGAGTTATAATGCTCATCATCGACATTGTGCCAGCTCTGAGTAAAGTTGACACCGGTCTGTGGACGATCGGGTTGGATGATGGATGTTCAGCGGCCAGCAGACTGACAGTGATGTCGTAACGTCGTAGCCGTCGCCAATATTTCGATGTACCAACTTATGTGTGTGCATGATTGTTTACGTATTTGTTTATGTTTGTTTTGATTCACTGGGTATCTATGTATATCGTTCTCTACAATATATATATATATACATACACATACACATACATACATACATACATACATACATACATACATACATACATACATACATACATACAATGACCTAAACATTTATACAACTACACCCATACCGGTGTTTGTTTTGTCTGCGTGTCTGAACTTGCGCTTCTCTCTGGGAGCTTTTGGGGCTCCGGTGTTCAGGCGAAGACCTCGCCGTCATATGTTGCAGCCACCCCAGTAGGGTTTAGGGTTTAGGGTTTAGGGTTTAGGGTTTAGGGTTTAGGGGTTTAGGGTTTAGGGAGCCACCCCAGACATGGATGCCGGGATGCAGGGCTAGGGTAGGGTTGTTGCGGTCTAATTGCGTCAGAGGGTATGTAGTGGTGGCAGCGGCTGTGGGAGGCATCAGCTGTGCCGGTGGTTGTGACAGTCGTAGTTTGTTATCAGCAGAGGTAGTCATTATGCTGGTAATATTTGCTGCTGGTGTTGCCTGCTGCCTGCTGCTGGTGTCACCGTCGTTGTCGCGGTCGTTACCAGATGAGTTGCTGTTGATGATGATGACGATGAATGACGGTGGTAATGATGCTGACGACTGTGTTCGGCATCACCGTCGGTGACATTGTCCGGCATTTGTTCGGTGGTACTCCACGCAATCGTTCGTCCCAACATCATTACAAGTTTCTGCTTCCCCGCTTCATTAGGAATTTCAGGCAATGGGTGACCTTGATATTGCGCCCACCTAGCAGAATCCTTTAACGACCCCAACAAGGAGCCACTGTCCAGGTGTTGAGGAGCCCCATCGCCGTCTTTGTGGTAGTTTAGGAGTTTTTGAACCTATGCCTATACCCTAAACCCCGGTAGAAGCCCTATAATTAGATCACATTAAAGGAACCTTTAAGTCCTTTTAACGAACCCTTTTAAGATTTTAGATCCATTTTAAGGAACTTAAGACTCATGTCCCCAAGACCGATCCCCCAAATCCCTAGAGACAACGTCCTAAGCCCAAAAGCACCTGAACCCTGCGCCCAAAACCACCATGTGGAGGTTTAGGGCTTTGGGACTTCTATAAGATTTTCAGGGGTATTATGTAGCCCGACTCCAAGAGTACAAATAATAGTGCCTACGTTGGGCTCTAGAAATTATAAACGGTACCTACTTTGAGCCATTTGGAATCTTAGGGTAGGTGGGGTCATAGATTGCTAGGGCAGCTAGGGGAACTATAGTTATAAGCCACCAGGGGGCTTCCTTCTATGACTGCCCATGAGCTTCCAAGCATCGTCCATCGTTTTTCAATTCAAAGCCACACAAAGGCGTTCCCATCGGTTTCACTACTGCAAAAAAACCTTCAGCCCGAAATCCTAAACCTTAGGTTGGGCCTTTACGTTTTTGGGGTCTTCAGAGTTTAGGGTAGAACCGTTTGGGTTTGGCGATCGCAGGGCTTAGGCCCTGAACCCCAAAACTTTAGCCCTTCCCCTAAAGCCCTAGACCCTAGCTGCCCTAACTACCCAGGGACATGGTGCATATATATATATATATATATGTGCATGTCGACCTGCCGTGGAGCTCGTCCGTGCTCAAATCCCACAGCCTGCGGTTTGGGTTGATGAGGTTGGTGTCGGTTACATCGATCAAGATTTCGGCCCTAAGCTGTAAGCCCTAAACCTGAAATAACCCAGATATACAGTCCACAAGCCCCAAACCCATCGCTTCAAATCTGGAAGTCCTCTACCCTCAACGACAGGCCCGGCAGCCCAACGCCAAACCCAAAGACAGTATAACATAGGGGCTAAATAATTGCCTATACTATCTTGGCGGTTCCTTATTATATTTATAGCATAATATACCCCAAANNCCCAAAACCCTATTCTAATTAATAAATCCCTTACATTAAACTCCCTCAGCCAAGACGGGTTTCAGGTTTACTGTAGTAGACAAAACTCCATGGCATATGCCTGCAGACCTTGCCAGCTGTGCAAGGAGGATGTCGAAGCCGCTGAGCCGGTGGATCAAGATTCCGAAGAGAGACTTGGTTGACTAGACTAGGGTGACCAAGGCTCGGGAGAGCAGATTTAGACGTTGTGTATGAGGGCTGTTCTGGGGTTGGATGTTGTGGGACTTGGGGTTTTGGGTAAATGCCACCGCAAAGTTTATCTCTAAAACCTAAGCGTGAATATGTTTGGATATGGGACGGTAATGTAGGGATAGTTCGAAAGGCTGTTCTCTGCTAACCCGTATATGTAGTATATCTCTATCGAAATCCGGGCTGTGGCACACGAACTTTTGGATGTTGCATGGTGTCGGGACGACCCAGTTTTAGAGTGATGCACAGGTAGTTCTACAATAAGCTGTCATATACTATCTGGATCTACCGATATATGTAGACATAGGTTGCCCGTGCAACACTAATTCTCTTGTTGGCACAACTTCCTGCATAATCAACCTGATATCTGACTTGCCGATCACGTGTGCTTCCTCGTCGGAAGGCAACAAGGCTTTGGGGGGGGGGGGGGGGGGNNGGTTATAAGTTATAAGTCCCCTAATATGGGTTATAATTTTAGTTACCCTACTTATAACCCGATTTATAACTACCCATGAACCTCCAAGTAATCACTGGCTTTTAAGGAGTATCATGTACCCACAGCCATGTGCCGTGAACTGAGGATTCCGGAAGTCGTTTCCATCGAGGCGCTGATTCTGGAGCGTTCCCGTCGTCGGCCTTCTTTTGGGGGCTCCTTGGTAGGCTCTGACACTGATGGTTCCCGCCGTCGGCCTTCTTTTGAGGGCCCCTTGGTTGGCTCTGACACTGATGGCAAAAGCCAGACTGAAGCCGTCGCTCGGCCAAGACCGTCACAGACAAAGTTGGAGCGCAAGTCCACGGATATCAGCGACACTGGCCTGAAATTGGACGGGGACCACATTCGGGCAATAAGCATGCGCCGATCGCTGCGACAGTGGGGCTGGATATGGCGGCGGCCGATGTATCCTATGTCTCTGCAAGGCCGCAGAGAGCTTTTGGAGTGGTCGCAGCCGGCATCGGGCTATGATGCCTTCTTGTCCCATTCGTGGCAGACCCCGGGCTTTGGAGTACTATACTTTAATACTTTTTTTAGACCTGTTCCTTAAAGGAGTCATTATGATGAGATAAAAGTCTATACTTTTTTCTCCTTGGTTACTTCAAAGCCCAGGACCTGGGGTTTCTGGAAGTACCTGGCACTTACCCTGCACTCCTGCAGACGTTGGCTGTTGCTTTGGTGGTCCTTGTGGGTTTCTGCGGCCTTCCTTGCATCCTACGCTTTAGACCTACCCACCTATAGCCAAGTCAGCCCGGAGACCCCCCGTTTCCGCTGCCGCTGCGCCACGGGGCCGTGGGTCGTAGTGAGTCTTGGTTCTTCCCTGTCCATTCTTGAAAGCTTTTTGTTCTTAGACAACTTGGTTGGTGGTTCTGACAGTCTTATATAAACCCTATACTACCCCACAAGCCTCAAAACCACAAACCCTGAACTCTAAACCCTAAACCCTAAACCCTAAACCCTAAACCCTAAACCCTAAACCAACCCTCGAAACCCGCAACCCTGAGCCCTCAAGCCTAAAGTGTTCTGTTTCCTTGGGCTTAGGGTTTAGGGTTTAGGGTTTAGGGTTGGTGGGGGTTTAGGGAAAAGGGTTTAGGGGGCATTCGCCACGTCAGGACTGGCTTCGTCGCGATGGTCACGGGGCTGCTTTTGGCGCCTTATGCACCCGACTGCTGCAGAGACCTGGCTTTCTTAGGGTTTAGAGTTGAGAGAACTTACCATGAAGTCTGCTTTATGATTTCATTTCGTGCTTTATGCTTTTTATAGGGCTGATAAAGACTGCAACGACGTTACCCAGTGAATAGCATGTTGTCCTTATAGCAACACTCTGTAAACAAGTCCTCAAGCCATTTTGATAAAAGCCGCCAAGACCCCATAACCTCACCTGAGAACGCTACTGACTCCATGTTCCAGACTCATTCCAACGCCTCAAAGAAACTACATTCTTCAATCACACACTCTTAGACAAGACCCCGCACCTTCCAAAAGCAATCATAATCTTCGTATCAACGACCGTAAAGCCTGAAAGAAGTAATTACGCAGACACGCGACTCCAACGTCCAGTAGTCAAGGCATGCATGGTTTATGGATGCAGTGGGTTCAGGGTTCAGGGCCGATAATGCCTTAAATTTATGGTTTAGGGCCTAGGGTTTGGGTCATACTTAGATAAGGACCTCATTGTAATTTACTTCCTATTGCATGGGTAAGGGGTTTCTGAAGCCTCTCAGAAACCGTTCAGCATCCCGGCCACTCTACCCTAAACCCTAATCCTAAACCCTAAACCTTGAACCCTAAACCCTAAACCCTAAACCCTAAACCCTAAACCCTAAACCCTAAACCCTAAACCCAAACCTTTCCAGGAACCCTAAGTCGTCTGAGCGCAGGGTGTGTTTGGGGTTGAGAAGTTAGGAGTCCCCAAGCCCCAAACATATAGGCGCCTGAAGGATCACCAACATCCTTCCATCAAGTTCCGTAAGACCCAGGGCCCCACCTATTCCCAGTACTAAGGCCCCTGTATGTTAAACACCCTAAAACTTAAGCCCTCAGCCCCAAAGCCTAGTTAACCCCCAACCTAAACCCGAAAACCCCAAAACGCTAAACCCTAAACCCTAAACCCTAAACCCTAAACCCTAGAACCCTAAACCCTAACACCCTAAACTCTAATCCCTTTTAGGGTTTCGTCTCAGTGGCCAGGTCAGCCCTTATACAAGGTCTATATACCTTATAGAAACCTTATAGAAGCCCTATATACCCTAAACTCCCCACCTGTAGTTTCCTCTAACCAGGTCAGCCCGATCGTTGCTTCATGGATGCCGCCTGCATACACCAGGCTGATCCCGAGCTGGCGCTCGGAAAGAAGCGGTGCATTTAGGGTTTAGGGTTTAGGGGCCTTTACCTTAGGGACATAAGCATAAGCATTTTATACGGATATCCCCACCTTTTTGGGCTTCATTATAAGGGGGGTGTATATGGGATATCCCTATCTCAAGTTTTGCTTATGTGCTCTTTTGGGGCCCTATTACCCAGACCCACAAGTAATCTAGGGGCCTAAGTAGTTACCTGGATTGTTTTGGGGGTTCCTTGTTCTAACTATGGTATAATATACACCCAAAACCCTATTCTAATCATTAAGGCCCCTCTATTTTGCAGAGTATTAGCCTTCTATGGGTGTTGGGCCATCGTTTTACTTGCGTTTCGGGGTTTAGGTATGGCTTTGGGGGCTAGGGTCTTGGGGTTTAGGGTTAGGTTTAGGGTCTTGGGGTTTAGGGTGCAATAGGGCTAGGTTTGAGAGCAGCAGGGCTTCCTTTCAGCGTCAGGGTTTTGCAGGAGTTGCGTACTTGGAGGTTCATGGGTAGTTATAAGTGGGTTTATAAGTAGGGTAATTTCTGTTATAACCCATATTAGGGGACTTATAGCCATACTTATAACTACCCATGAACCTCCAAGTAGAGAAGAAGAGTTTTGCAGGGTTCAGGACTTGAGCATCCAAGGTCGAGGATGTAGGGTTTCGGTTTAGGGTTTAGGTTTTAGGGTTTAGGGTTTAGGGTTTAGGGTCCCTTTTGGGGTACCCTAGATAATAGGTGCCGTATTATAATAAGGACCCAAAAAGGGACCATAATTTTGACAACCACCCATGTAGGGTTTCGGGTTAGGGTTTCCGGATGTAAATCGGCCTCCAATCCCTTGCAGTTTTGTGGTTCAGGGTTCAAAAAGGCCACAGAACCAACATAACGGGTACTCTAATTCGTAGTAGCCCACCTTGGTCTCCCGCTTTTGGTGCCTTAGACTCACTGTTTTCTTTGTTCAACCAAATGTAAAAGTAGGATCCTAGACCGTACCCCCAAACAAGGAACTACGTTGGATTCCAAAGGCAAGCTTCAGAACCCTAAATCCTAAACCCTAAACCCTAAATTGAACTTCAAGAATCTCCTCAACCCCGAACCCCAACCCTAAAGCCTCTAAGGAAAGAGCAGGGAATCTATTCCATAGCCGGGCTCCTGGGCCTCTCGCGCGAAATGCGAGTCCTTTGGAGCCCGCCTTATCTGTCCAGGCTCCCGGGGGGGAGGCGGCGTAGAGCTGAGGGTTCAGGGTTTAGGATTTGGGGCCTTGGGGTTTACGGTTTAGGATGTGGGGCTTAGGATTTTGGGTTTGGGGTTTAGGGTTGGGCCTTGGGCTTAGGGTTTGGGGTTTACGATTCGGATGGTTCCAGAATGATTACAACCACCGAGCCCCCGCCAATTCTATACCTCGGTCAAAATCTTCAAGCCACCATATAGTCGAGAAAGCCTTATACAGCCCCATAGGAGCCGATGGTGCCTAGAATGACAAAGCCTCAACCTAAACCCTGAGCCCTAAACCCAATAAAAAAAAACGCCCTCAAACAAAAAAACCGACCCCCCTAAACCCCTAAAGCCTTTTCATAGATGAGGAAGAAGTGTACCTTAGTCTACACAGGGATCTTCAGGAGGAATGAAACGAGCTCAGGAAATCAAAACATGCTTGTGACAGAGTTGCCGCAAGCGGTATGCACAGGATACTCTTTTTGAAGTGCCCTCGCTACAGTCATATAGTCATGTTATAATCACCCGAAGCTGGGGGAATTGTTCACGTCTCTACATTAATGTAGGGGCCTTAATAATTAGAATAAGGTTTTGGGGGTTCCTGAATATAACTATAGTATGTCATGCCCCAAACCCTATTCCAATTATTAAGGCCCGTATATTACCCAATTCTAACTGGCCCTGTCCAGGCTATGGTGCGTCTTCGAGCCACTGGGACTCCCTCCATTCCGGAACTTTACGGTTGAAGGTTTAGGGCGGAACTTTCTTTCAACATTCATAACCTACAGGGACACTACTATGATAAGTTACCCCCTAAACCCTAAACCCTATTGCCTGGGCACCTTCTGAAACCTCTATGGCACCCTATGGCCCCTCATTAGATCAGTATCACCCTTAAACCCTAAACCCTAAACCCTAAACCCGAAACCCGAAACCCTAAACCCTAAACCCTAAACCCTAAACCCTAAACCCAGCCAGCCCCTGGTCAAAACCTGAACCTCCGGAGCCTTCCGCTGCAAGCCACGGTCGACATGGACTGTGGGTTCAACCTAGATCGACGCGTAATATGGGTGGTTGTCAAAATTATGGTCCCTTTTAGGGTCCTTATTAAAATACGGCACCTATTATTTAGGGTACCCCAAAAGGGACCAGAATTATGACAATTACCCATATAGGGGCCTTAATAATTAGAATAGGGTGTTGGGGGGTTATTATACCATCATAGTTATAATAAGGAACCACCCAAAACCCTATTCTAATTATTAAGGCCCCTATATTATAGGGCTTGAGCGGTTCTTGTCGGGGTTTTCTAGGTGTTCTAAATGGCGGTCAGGCCTTGCGGCTCAGCGATTCCTGGATGTTTAAGGCTCTGGCACTTCGTCCTGTAAGACATCCGGGGTTCCGTGCCTAGTGGTTCTCTGGGCATGTAAAGCCTAATATATGGGCCTTAATAATTAGAATAGGGTTTAGGGGTATATTATACTATAATCACAACAAGGACCCCCCCCAAAAAAAAAAATAATATTGGTAATTGTTCAGGCCTCTACATTATGGTGTTTAATCTGAGCGACTCTACAAGCTTTTTTCCTGGCGGCTGAAGCAGGGTTTTGGGTATTCCTACCCCAGCAACATGACATCTTTTCCTCAGACTTGACACCTTCAGGCTGGCTGCGTTCCGGAAGAAGAACCCCACAGGCAAGCTGGTTCCGAGATCAAGAATCGACCTCCTTTCAAGGATACCCTAAAACCTGCAGAGGTTTAGGGCCAGTTTAGGGTTTAGAGTTCTAGAACCATTTTAAAAGTCGGGGTTTAGAGTTCTAGAACCACTTTAAAAAGTCGGTGCAATGCCTTATCACCCGTATTATGTCCGAAGCCCAACCGTATCTTCTTTACCCACAAATCCCCAACCCTAAGCTCGAATTAAAACGCCCTAAGCTCGAAGCCTTGATTAGATTCAGGGCCACAAGGGCTCCGCTCAGGGTACCTTGGGTAGCCCTGACACCCGAAACCCGTAATCCTAAACTTTAAAACACCCCAAGTCAGAGGCAAGTTGGTCACGGGCCCTAAACCCTAAACCCTAAACCTCTCAGCCTAAACCGTTAACCCTAAGCCCTCGCAGGCAGGTTGGTCATTGCTCCGCTTTTCGTGGAGCATGCCGTGCTCATTGGAATCTTGGGAGCTTACGCCGCAGCAGGCCGAATCTCACTCGACAAAGGGGTTTAGGGTTTAGGGTTTAGGGTTTAGGGTCCATAAGGTTCAGGGCTTGGGGCTTTGTTATGAGTGTTTTTTTGCAGGATTGTATTGTGGCTTTATGGTTTTTTAAAGCTTTTGCGACTGTTGTGAAGATCCTATTGAGTTTTGATAGGGTTTGACTTTGGGGCCTGAGTAATTATCAGTACTGTTTCCTGGGACTCCCCATCCGTCTGTAACACGTATACCTATATGAACAACTGTAGTACATACAGAGGTATGTATCAAACACACATATATATATATATACATATATATTTATGTGTATATATATATATATATAGACACACACACACACACGCCAACGCCATGTTTTGATTATAAAGAGTGAGGGTCCCCATATTCGGGGCTTGCAGGACCATGGAAATGAAAGCATCTTACGAAATCCCTGATCCCAAATCCTCAACTCTAAACTTTGAGGACCCTAGACCCTTAACCAACAGAGTTTACAGTTTGGGGTTTGGGGGTCGTCTAAGGCTTGCACCCCCACTCCTGATTTTCCCTGCATTTTTGCGTGTTCCGTTGGTCACCGTCTGGTTTATCGTGTAAGGGTTCAGGGTTCAGGGTTTAGGGTGGTTTATCGTGTACGGCTTCAGGGTTTAGGGTTTAGGGTGTAGGGTGGTTTCTTGGCGTTCTTCTGGTTGGTTCTTAGGGCTTTGTAATCAGGAGGCTAAAAGTTTAACTTTTGGGAGGGGTTCAGAAGTCAGCCAAAGTTTATCGTGTAAGGGTTCAGGGTTGCAGGATCCCGGTCAGGGAAGTTACGGTTCGAGAGCGTCAGGTTCGCACAGTTTCGGGTGCTGTAGTCTTTGGGGTAGTTCGGGATTTTGGCATCTGCTGCATTTTAGGGTTTAGGGTTTAGGGTTTAGTATGGTGCGGGGTCTGGGGATTGATCCAGACTGTCCAAGGCTCTTCCTTCGAGGTTTGCGAAGAGCCTTAAGCTAGAGACCGTTCGAGGCTCCTTGTTTCGGGTTTCGGCTTCCTGGCCTTTTGGGACCTAAACCCCGAAACCCTAAACCCTAAACCCTTAACCCTTAACCCTTAAACCCTAAACCTGAAGCCCTGACAAGGTGCCCTTTGGTCCAGCAGCGTGGTGAGGGAGGTGGTTCGGGACTATTTTCCCAACTACTACGAAATGTCGTTCTTTGTGTCCCCTGGTGGCGCGTTTAGCATCTGATTGTTGCGTTTTTGGGCATAATCATAAGGCTAAGGGGTTGGTTTGGTTTTGGCGAAAGGTCGTAGAGTCGTAATATAGGGGCCTAGATACTTACCTAAATCATCTTGGGGGGCTCCTTATTATAATTATAGTATAAGGGGCTCCAAAACCTTATTCTAATTATTAAGCTTAGCTCACCAATACCCAACCTTTAAACTTTTGGGGTTCTTATATTTTAGTAGTGATCTGAAAGGTTAACCCTTTTTTCCCTGGACTATTGGGGAAGTAAGTAAGGCCCTTACAGTAGGCCCTAAACCCTAAACCCTAAACCCTAAACCCTAAACTAGGCTTCCGGGTCGTCGGATTTCAGGAGTAAGTCGCTGTCTCGGAGCATGATGACTTTTGCTTCCGTCCCGGATTCCACCCCAACCCTTATGTTCCAACCCCGAAACCCAAACCTAATGTAACAAACCTGATATAGAGGCCTTATTTGTCAGAATAGTGGTTTGGGGTATATTATACTATAACTATATAATAAGGACCCCTCGAACAAAAACAAATATTGTAATTAATTGTTAAGGCCCCTATTCTGCAGACCCCTTACATGCTTGTGTTGCACTCAGACCCTACAGAACCGCTGTCAAAAAACTCATCAGAACTCCTCGCCACTAACCCCCGCCTATACCCCTACACCCCTGTAGACCCTAAACTCTAAACCCTAATCCCTAATCCCTAAACCCTAACCCCTAAACCCTAAACCCTAAACCCTAAACCCTAAACCCTAAACCCAAAAAGTCCTAAACCCAAAAAGCCCCAAAGCGCAGCACTCTCAGACCCAGGTCTCTGAGCCCTGTGCTCTTCATGATCCTGGGCTCTGGACTACCAGTTTAGGGTTTAGGGTTTAGGGTTTAGGGTTTGGGGTTCAGGGTTTAGGGTTTAGGGTTTAGGGTTTAGGGTTTGGGGTTCAGCGTTTAGGGTTTAGGGTTTAGGGTTTGGGCTCTGGACTACCAGGGTTTTGGGTTTAGGGTTTAGGGTTAGGGTTTAGGGTTTAGGGTTTAGGGTTCAGGGTTTAGGGTTTAGGAGAGTGCTATCGGGTTCCGGATTAGAGGCACCAGGTAGTAGGGAGTTTGCTGGATCT